CGGCCGCCCGTCGGCGCGCTGCTGACGCTGCTGACGCGCCCCTGAGTAAGCCCTCCTCAGCAATGTGCGGCACATGTGCGGCGCGGGCCGGCCTGGGCTCCGCCACTGACACCGTCGTATGCTTCCGGCCGAGGGGGTACTTTACTATAAATTCAAGCGTACACCAATTATTCTGTTTCTTCTCATTTTTTTCTGACTTTTTCTCATTTTTAAAATATAATTTTCCTTGAAACTTTTTTGAGGGTGTACACTGATATTTTTTAAAAAGTGAAGTCCCCCTGACCCTGGCCTCTTGCCTTTGGCGGTTCTCGGTCACATAGGAGCCGAGCTGAGGTGTGTTTGTTCCCAACTTTGCAGGGAACCATACCGCCACCACCGCGGCACTGGCGTTTGAGTTCCTCGGTAAAATAATTGTGCTCTGAGAAAGACAAGTCCCTCCTGACACAAGGCGTTTGTTTAGGGTCCCCCCCACAATTAATATTTCCCGAGGGGACGCTGACGCCTGCAACGCTCCGGGTAGGCCAAGCTACCATGCAGCTGCATGGGGACTCGTCCAGTCGAGGGTTTCGGTTCGTGTCATTTCGAGGATAACTAATAATGGGGGTACCATCGTTCTCCCAGATTTGCTCAATGGCACGAAATACGATTAGTGATCCGTATCCCTATTAAAATTTACGTGCGAGGCAATATGATCCCGAACACCTTTTCATAGCGCCTGATGGGTAGGCAACATCTTGCTTGCAGTGCATGCGTGTCCGGCGGGGTGGCCTACCCGGAGTCTCGCAGGCGTCGAGCTCCCGTAATTTGCCGTATGAATCTGAGAATAACGGACACATTATACTTTCAGGGGGGGCCCCTGAGTTTAAAAGTACAGGTCAGGGCTCATCGGGTCAGGGGAACGCGTTCGTCGACCCACAGAGCCGCGGGGCGGCGCGCGCCGCCGTGTACCTCCCGCGCACTGCGCCCCTGATGCCGCCGGCGTTGCGGGGGCGGGCCCGGGCCTATACCTGATGATGAGTTTCCGCTGAATTGGAAGCAGTCTGTGCGCCCGAGGGGCTGCCCGCGGGCGTGGCACGGCGGCGAACGTACTGCACTCGAGAGGTAAACCACCCGACACGCGCATTGACATATTACGCGTGTGCACAGACAAAAACACACACACTTAGGGGTGTGTGTGTGTGTGTACTTGGCACACTAGCAGAGCAGCAGCCTCACCTGTGCGTCAAGTCGTCAAGTCTCCCGGCCCGGGGGGAGGCGAAGCAGGTGCCGCAGGTGCTTGTCGTGCTGTCGTCTCCGGCCTATAGGCGGACGGGCGCGGAAGTAATCCACTGGCTTGCTCAGCGATCGACGACGTCCTGCCCGCTGCTGCTGCTGCTGCTGCCCGCTGAGCTGCCCGCGCCCGCGCTGCACTTGCGTCGTCGCCTGTATAGTGCGTGGACCTCACCCGACTGGCGGCCGGGGATGTTCAAGAGCAACTGAGGAGCGGCAGGTGGAGCCGGCGGGGCTGGTGCGAGAGCCCGCGTGCGGCGGGACGGGGCGGGG